GTAGCAAGGGAGTGTGAACCTTAAGGTGTGAAACAGCTGTGTACTGCCTTTTGTTCCATCAAGCTTGGTTGCCTGTTTCTTTGTGTGTTTGGATTAAAGAATGTTAGCTACCGCTCACCCCTCGTCTGCAGACTTTATTTAAATGGAAAACTTCCACAACATTTTACACTGAATTTTGTTGAATCCTGGGTTTCAGTGCAGCTGCCATACTGTCAGAGAGCAGCCGCCTCTCCTAATGCATGCTTTTATAGCACGAGGATGAAGATCGTACTGAGGCTGCTGACAGTAAGAGATTCACGACAGATTCATATTATGCCTTCAAACATCAACTAATTTTATATTTGAGCATTACGAGATGTATTCACTCGTATATTTAACTTCTCCTCCATCACCATCAGGAGGCATCTGAGCCCAACAAACCAAGCAGAGTCCTGATTTGAATATCACTGAATCAAAGCCAGCGCTAAACCTGAAAATCTGTTGAAGACATGGAGACAGAGTAACACCATAGAGGCTGCAAGACCCGTACAAGAAGAAGGAGCCAGCTGATGAAGGTGTACTGTGGGGATCTGTTGTTGATTTAAAAGTTCACACAGCGAACACTGATTCAATTTATTTTTTTCTTTCTTTACTGCACAAAGATCAATAAAAAACTATTCATCCTCAGGACTGTGGGCAGATGAAACTGACCAGCGACCGAGACGTCTGCGTTTCATTGTATGAGACTGAAGATAACAGCTGACTGCGTGTCTGACAGCGAGGCTGGAAATGGAAAAAAGCATGTCCTCCGAGATGATCTCAGTTCCAAAGTAATCATGCCAGGTCTTCTTGTTTTTTGAACTCTTGTGTTGAAATCGTTGTTTTTTGCAGCTAAATCTGCGTCGTAAATTTTTATTGCAGTCTTACGTGAAGAGATGAGACTCAGCACTCAACCCGAACATCTGCTGAAACATTACACTGTTTATATGGAAACAATCTCTCTGCTTTCAGCTGCATTAAAGTTTCCACGACCTTTCTAAAAGGTTTTACAATTAAGAAGCCACATGTCCACTATATGCTCAGCATCTGAATATGGACATATTTTAAAGAACTGTTGGACTAATGTATTTTTCTTTATAACAGTAACCCTGGCAAGTTAAGAGCAACAGATGAGACTCACTAATGCCACCGACAGAACAACAGCATTTTGACAATACTGCACTAAATCGTGCCCAGATGGAAAATCTCAGCTGATTGCTTAATATGGAGTTGAGGACTTTTCCAAGAAATATTTTGAAAAGGTTGTTTGGTGTGCTAACCACTGCAGCATGCATGCAGCATGAGTTCAATTCCACCATCAGGTCAGGATCTTTCTATGTGGAGGTTGCATGTTTTCCCCGTGTTTGCAGGAGGTCTCTCTGGGTACTCTGGCTTCCTCCCACAGTCCAAAGAAATGCAGTTAGTGGGGTTCACATCTAAATTGCCCATAGGTGTGAATGTGAATGCACAGACTGGTGACCTGTCCACCGTGTACCCGAAGACAGCTGGGATAGGCTCCAGCGCCCCCGCGACCCTGAATTGGACAAGCGGAAGAGGTTGGACGGATGGATTCTGTTCCACAGGTCCTCTTATTTCATAAGTTGATGCAAATATTTGTAAATTCAAACAAACTAATGTAGTCCGGATGGAAAGTACTGAAAGGTGCCAAGTTTCCAGCCCCTTTTTAATTTCAAACATAATAAATTCACAGGTGTTGTTTAGTCATACGATGCGTTGTTATATTTTATTACTTGGTTTTATTGTCT